TAAGCCCTTGAGGGCCAGGCACTGTGATTTATTATTATTTTTTTTTGTCTTTGTTAACCCTAGCACCTAACATGGTGAACTTTTGGCTCTTTATTCCAACTTTCTAATTGGGGAAATTGAGGCACAGAATGATTTAAGGGGAATTGGCTAAGATTATTGGCTTCTGGCTTCGAAGATATGTACTAGGACTGGACCTGTGATTTCATCACCATGGAGTACCTCCAGGTGAGGAAATTCCTTCTACCAATGCAGGTCAGCACCTTCTCTGAAACTCAAAATCTTGGCGATTTCCTTGGGAGCATGGAGAATTGAAGTGACTTGTTAGTGTGTGTGTCAGAAGTGGGAGCTGAACCCAGGTCTTTCAGACTGTGAGATCCACACTATTATACATATGGTGGGCAGGCTTCTCAGACTGGGATAACATGGAAGTATCTAAGGAAAACCTTTTTCCAGCTTGGACAGTGCATTGCTTTCCTCACAAAGCTAATTAATTCCTGTAAATGCTTTCTTCTGAGCAGACAGGAAAGAGGATGTGGAGGAAGCTATTAGGGATGACCACAGTGTTCCTTCTGATGGATGGCAGCAGGGAGGGGAATCTATCAGTTGGGTGCCGGACATCCTCTGTCTGTAGACCTTTCCCAGGGGCAGATGATGGGAGCCAGAGGCCAGTGACCCCCTTACCCTCCCTCCACCTGTGCTCTTCCAGTTAGAAAGCTGGAACAAGGAGCCAAGAGCTCTCTTGTGGTCCAGATATCTGATTCCTTTTCCCCACGAGGACCCCGTGGCACTCTCTCCCCCTTCCCCTGCCCCCTCCTTGACCCAGACTCCTCTCAAGATCTCAAAGGAGGCATCTGTCTAGCTAGTGTCTGAGGCTGGATTTGAACTCACAAAGATGAGTCTTCCTGGCTCCAGGCTCAGTTTTCTATGCACTATGGCGCCACCTAGCTGCCCCTCCGCCTGGACTTCTGTTAAAAATAAGTCAGTGGCCTGATCTATGACAATGAGAGGAAAATGGAGGCCTCTGGCATCTTCCCTATGGGGAGGGAGACAGTGGAGTTAAGTGGATGGACTTGGGTTCAAGTTCTACCACTGACACTTACTGATTGTGTGACCCTGAACAAGTCACTTAACCTGTTTGCCTCAGTTTCTATAAAATGGGGATACTAATAGAACCTATCTCCTAGGGTTGTTTGAGGATCAAATGAGATAATTGTCAAGTACTTGGCACACAGTAAGAGTCATTAAAATGTTACCATCATCATCACCATCATCACCATCATCATCATCATCATCATTATATATGCCACTCTCTAGAATTATGAAGACTTAGGTTTTGATCTCACCTCCGATGCTTACTAGCTGTGTGAATCTGGGAAGGCCATTTAACCTTGCTCAGCCTCAGTTTCCTCATTTGTAAAATGAAGGGATTCAATTCAATGTTTTCTCTAAGATTTGTTCTGGCTCTAAATCTGTGCTGTCTCTGAGCCTCAGTTTCCCATTTATAGGGAGGCTAATTATACTATATATACTACCCTACTTTACAGGGTGGTTGGAATACTCAATTGTAAGTGTTGTGTTTTGTAAACTTTCATATCAGCCTCTAGAAAGTTCAAATATCGTGGCCTTAGGTCAATGATTAGCCCTGGCCAGGACCGAACTGTTCTTATCATTTCCAAGGGGCGTTTGTTCACTATAGGGCCATTGTTAGCAATTGTGACTTGGAGATCCAGAGAGATTCTAAGTTGTTTGTCTGAGATCAGCCAGCCAGGCAGGGCCAGAGTCCAGGGCCAAACCCAGATGCCAGAATTTCCAGGCCCAGGTTCTGTACCTGAACAATTCACCATCTGGTCCTTGTCCACTTATGACCCAAATAAACATTGCCTCTCCTCCATTTTTGCTCCTCCCTCTAATACTGGGGACTCCTACTATTCTCCCCACTCCTTTCAAACCATTACTATCCAGGCTAGCTCTCCATCCCTAGGAGAGTATATTGAATGTGTATGTATACATATTCCATATCTATGCATATAGGTATACCATTTATGTATATATATGAGATATGTAGAGCAGAAAAAGTCATACTAGGCATTTACACATATTATTTACATATATCATATAGTGCTTTACATATATTTACACTTGAGCTTCATAGTAACCTTGTGAGGCTAGTGTTACAAGTATTATCTCCATTTTACATTTAAGGAAGTTGAGGCCAAGAAAAGTTAAGCAACTTAGCTATGATCACACGGCCAGCAGGTATTATAAGCAGGCTTTGAACTGAAGTCTGCCTGACTCCCAAGTATACCTCTTTATCTATGCCATATAGGATAACCACCCCTTCTTAATATAGGCTTATATACAGGATACACACACACACACACACACACACACACACACACACACACACACATACATAATAACCACTTCTTCTTAATACAGGCATATACAGCCTGTATACTTAATACAGGGCTATGCTGCTCTGTGTGATGGAGAGTTCCAGCGGCTACCATTCATGTCTATTTTACAGATGAGGAAACTGAGTCTTACAGTGACTCATTTCTAGACAGAGAACCAGACATAGTGTGTCAGGACCAAGAGTGGGGCCCAGTTCTCTCACCACCACCCCACCTCCAGCCCAAGATTCCTTCCGTTCAACCAGAAACAGCCTAATCCTAGTGACTCCTTTCCCAGCAACAAACAATCCCAGCCCTGCCCAGCCCAGCCCAGTCTGTCTCCTTCCCCAATAGTCCCAAGCCTCTGATGTTGATGTTCTGCTCTCTGCACCTTTGAAAGTCCTGTCTGAACAGCTCAAGTGAATCTAGCACAGGTGGGCCCTGGCACCATTTCTCAGACCGAGACTTGTCTACTGAGTTTCTCTGATCACAGTTTTATTTGTTTTTCTATTCTCTGTCTCTCGGTGTCTCTGTGTATGTGTTTCTCTCTGTCTTTGTGTCTCTGTCTCTCTCCCCTCCCCATCCCCCTTTTCTCTTTCTCCCTCTCCTTCCCCATCCCCCCTTTCTCTTTCTCTCTCTCCTTCCCCTCACCCTTTCTTACCCTCCCCCTACCTCCCTCTAATGGCCCACTAATTGGGGAGGAAGCATAATTGACTTCTTCTAGAGTGGCTGTTAAATGAGCTAATGATCAGAAACAAAACAGAAGGCCCTGCCCTGCGTTTGTCCAGTCCCAGTCTCATTTCAGACTTAACCCTTTCCTTGGGTCTCATCTCTGCTTCCCAAGTGGTAGATCTGGTGACTAGAATAGACAGCAATGATGGTTACAACCAGGAGAACGAGAATACCAGGTTTTGAGTAAGGACAGGTTGGGTAGGTTTTAAAAATGTGCCTTCTATTTGGGGCTGTGGATAGAGGATGAGGCTTAGAGCCAGATGTGAATTCGAATCCTCCCCCTACCGCCAAGGGGGTTCAGTGGGGAAGAAGATGCCAGAATTGAGTCCAAAGATCTAAGCTTGACTCCTAACTCTGCTTGTTCCTGACCATTTGTGTGATTTTGGTCACCGCACTGTAAGACTCTGGTGCCCCACTTGCTCAACTGTAAAGATGACCTTTCAGGCTTAAGCAATTCTCAGGCTTTCAATACTGCCTGTGTGATCCTTGGCAAGACAACAAACCTCGCCCAGGCTGTTCTGTCATTTCAAAGACGCCAGTTTTTGCTTTAGATGGACTCTGTCTGTCCTGCTCCAAAGCCGGAGTCCTACTCTCACGTTTCTTTCCCTTTGTTTCTTCTCCCAAACTCTCAGGTGTTTTGGCTCCCAGGGAGGAGGTAAGGATTTAGAATGGAACTACCTGCCTACAGCAAGGGAATTCCTAAGCCTTTGAGTCATTCTAGGGGCTTGGAGGGCCTGTCCCTGCTACGACTAGGCAAGTCTCCTTCATGACTTTTATCTAAAAGCAGGTTCTTTTTTTTTTATCATCTATCATCTCCATCTTCTTTCTGTGTATTTCAACTCTCTCTCTCTGTCTCTCTCCCCTCCTCCTCCTCTGTGGTCTTTCTTTTCTCTCCTGTCTCTGCCCGTCCCTCTCTGTCTCTCTCTGAATCTCCCTCTCTCTCTCTGTTTCTCTTTCTGTCTCTCTTTCTGTCTGTCTGTCTCCTCCTCCTCCTCTTTGTGTCTTTCTTTTCTCTCCTCTCTCTGCCTGTCCCTCTCTGTCTCTGTCTCTTTTTCTATCCCCGTCTCTCTCTCCCTCTCTCTCTCTCTCTCTCTCTCTCTCTCTCTCTCTCTCTCTCTCTCTCTCTCTCTCTCTCTGTCTGTGTCTCTCTCTCTGTCTCTCTCCTCCTCCTCCTCTTTATGTCTTTCTTTTCTCTCCTCTCTGTCTCTCTCTGTTTCTCTCTCTGTCTCTCTGTTTCTCTGTCTCTCTCCTCCTCCTCCTCTTTATGTCTTTCTTTTCTCTCCTCTCTCTGCCTGTCCCTCTCTGTCTCTTCCTCCCTCCCCGTTTCTCTGTGTCCTTCTCCATCTCTGGGTCTTTCTTCTTTCTCTACTGTCCCTGTCTCTGCCACTTGTTTCATCCCCTTCTGTTTGCCTCTTTCTCTCCTCTCTCTCTGTCTCTGGTCTCTCTGGCTGCCTGTCTCTCTGTCTCTGGTCTTTGTTTCTTCTCCATGAAACTCTCTCCCCCAACTACCAGCATTCCCCATCCTTAAACATCCTTATATTAATTTTATATTGATTCTGCATATACTTATATGTGCTCATGTTGCCCACCCCAATAGAGTATAAGCTCCTCAAGGGTAAGGATTATTTCATTTTTATTTCCCCAGTAGATAGACCAGTGCCAGCTACATATTAAGTGCCTAATAAATATTTGTTGATTGACTGATTGATAGATTTTTCCTTTCACTTATTTCTATCTCAGTAGGCACTTACAAATATTCATTGACTGATTGACTGTCTTTGCTTCTCCATTCTCTGCCTCTCATCCCCCATCTCTGTCTCTCCCATTTCCCTTTCCCTCTGCCCCATCACCCCATCCTACCCAGTGCCCACTCACCTGATACCTCCACAAAGCCATCCTTGGTTTTAACAGTCAGCTCCTCTGGCTTGTAGCTATGCACGTTGACACAGACTTTCCAAGGCTCCCCAGGGCAGGGGGGTGGGCTTCGGTTTTCAACAGGCCCATACCTGGCCCCATAGATGGAGGGGCCATGCTGGGGACCAAGGGAGTCATGCCTGCCCTTAGGGTGCCTGGCCATGGGGACAGTCTGGGGCGGGCCCAGTCGGGCCAGTCCGCAGTCAGGTCGTCCGGGAAAGGGGCCATGCCAAAATCATCGTCCAGCAAGCGGGTAGACAGGCCTGACTCCCTGAAAGGGTCTCTCCTCAGGCGGGAAGAAGGGTAGGTGCAAGAAAAAGGCATTTGGCCATCGGCCATGGCTGCGGGCCTGGGTCAGGGCAGAGTGGCCCCCCTCCGACTCCCAAACAGTGGCAAGAGCCTTAGCTGGGCACTATGGGCCCAGGACAGCAGTTAACAGTTGAGTCTTCTGGCCCTGCCTCTGGCTCCCTGTGTGGCTTCTCAGCAAATAACCATCCAAGGCCCCTCCCCAAAACCAGAGTCCACCCTCAGAGAGGCTGCTTCAGCCCTGGGGGGAGGATACGGATGCCAAACCGGAGCGACAGGAATCCCTCCAGATATGCCCTCCCCTTGCCAAAACTCTCCAAGGGCTTTAAACCCAGGCAAGTGAAGGTGGATAGAGGGAGGGGAGAGACCAGCGAGTGCCCAGTGGCTTGCAGATGGCAGAAGTGCCCAGCCCCCCCCTTCAGACCTCGGGGTGGATTCTCTCTGGAGACCAGGCAGGCAAGCAGAGGTATGCACCAGTACCCTTTGGGGCCGCCTGTCTCTCTCTTCTGTCCTTTTCTCCGAGCCCAGGCAGCAGCTTAAATAAACATCAGCGCCCAGAAACTTCTCGTGTTCTCCAGGGCTGGGCAGGGCGCCTCGCTTATATGTCCTTTGATGCTGGCCAGGAGTGGGGGTGGGGAGGCAGGGAGCTTTTGCAATCTCCCCTTGTCAGACTGTGTTTTGGAGCCGATGAGCTACCCTCCTGAGCAATGCGGTTAGGACAGCTGACTGCTCTCCCAGGGGAGTTGGGAATGAGGGGCTATCCAAGTTTAGACGCCCCTCCTGGACCCTGGGGAGCCTCCCCTCCTCCTCCCTAGCCTGTCTCTTCCCTGCCTGACCTCCCTCTCTTGTCTCAGCAAGGAGGGACCCACGCTGCAGCAACTGTCTGCAACTGCTCAGAGCCGGGTCTGCTATTTTTATCCCTCCTCCTCTTCCTCCTCCTTGGGGCCCCTGCCCGGCTCCCCGCCACCTCTGTCCCTGTCCAGAAGGCTCTCCATACACACCTGTCCTTCTTCTTCACTATAGGGACACACACAATGAGGGATAATTAGGAAAGAGAATTGAACTGATCGTCCGTGCCGAGATCCACCCCCCCTCCATGTAGAGGATGTCCACTCTATTACCTCAGGGTTTGGAATGCTTTGGTACGGTCCTATCTCTACTCTGCTCTGCGTCTCTATCTCATCTTTTGTACTACTACCACTAATATCTGTAAAACTGAGATAATATCTGTACCATGCTTAGCACAGTGTGTGGAATATAGTAGGAGTTGAATACATGCTCATTCCTTTCCTTTCCCCTTCCCTTAAAAACAATAACTCTTTTATAAGGTTTGCAAAATATTTATTTTTTCATTTGATCTTCACAACAACCATAAGAAATTAAATAATAATAATAACAACAATAATAGCATTTATATAGTACTTTAAGATTTGCAAAGCACATAAATATTATTCATCTAATCCTAACAAAAGGGGTGGGAGATGTTGATGTTAACAATAACAGAAACAGTAGCATTTACATAGCGCTTTAAGACTTGCAAAGCTTTGTACAAATATCATCTATTTAATCCCCATAACAGCCCACAGAGGTAGGCGCTATTTTTATCCCCATTTTACAGATGAGTAACTGAGGGAGGTAGAGGTTAAGTGACTTGCCCAGGGTGTCTAAGGTGGATTTGAGCTCGGGTGTTCCTGACTCCTGGTCCACTGCTCTCTCCATGGCACCATCTAGCTACCTCTGTGGGGTAGGTGCTATTAGTAACCCAATTTTACAAACGAGGAAACTGAGACTCAGTGAGATGTGCCAAGTAAGTGCCGTTGCTTTTGGCTCAAGCCTTGGGTGGGTGGGGGTACTTTGAGTCAACTTGTTTTGGAAGTCTCCTAAATTAAACCGCAGGGTGTTAAATAGCTGAAAGGTATGATATGTGATACCCTCCTCCTCCTCCTCCTCCCCCCTCCCCAAGGGTGTTTGCATTTTGCTGGGGGGAGTTGGAGATAATGGAATCTTAGATTTAGAGCTGGAAGGGACCTTTGTGGTCACCTGGCCCCATCGAGCAAATGAGCACCTCAACACCATCAGTCAATTAACATTTATTGACACCTGATGACGTGTCAGGTACCGTGCTTAGCACTAAAGATACAAAGAAAGCCAAAGCCAAAGCCAAAACATAACGCCCAGCAAAACCAACCACAAGTAGTCCCTGCTTTCAAGGGGATCCTGTTTTAATGGGGGAGTCAACGTGGGACATCTGCTTGTCCTCTTTCACTCTCAAAAAGAACCCAAATGACATCACTATGTCAGCGTCAAGGTACAGTGCGTCTGACTGTGGCCGATCGGGACCAAGATGAGCTCAGAAGGCTCTACCACAGGTCGGGCACGTGAACATCTGGAGTGGATTCACTAAATTTGCACATCTTAGGTTTCTTTTGAGCCGTTGCAATTCTGCTGTGCTCACAGAGCACAGCATCTTCTTTGATGTGGGTGCACCATGCTGGGCAGTCCTGTGCCAGTATCTCCCATGTCACACAATCCATTCTAAAGTTCTTAAGAGAGACCTTGAGAATCTCCTCGTATCTCTTCTTCTGGCCTCTGGCTTGCCTTCTGTGATTTCTTTAAGGCAAATGAACCTTCGGCATTCAAACAACTTGGCCAGCCCCTTGGATAAATTGAAGGTATCCAAAGGAAGGAAGGAACTCCAATGAAGAAAGGCTTCCTATAGAAGGTAAGATTTTAGCTGGGAAATCGAAGGTGGAGATGAAGAGTGAGAGCACATTCAGGCGTAAAGGATGGCCAGAGAAAACACCTGGAGTCATGAGATGGAGGGTCTCTTCTGAGGGACAGCAAGAGGTAGGTGCTAGGAACATAGACACGAAAATGAGATAATCTCAGCCATCAAGAAGCTAACATTAAAGGGCAGCTAGGTGGCCCAGTGGATAGAGCACCGGCCCTGGAGTCAGGACCTGAGTTCAAATCCAGCCTCAGACACTTGACACTTACTTGCTGTGTGACCCTGGACAAGTCACTTAACCCCATTGTCTAGCCCCCCCCAAAAAAAATTGGAGTCAGGAGGACCTGAGCTCAAATCTAGCCTCAGACACTTGACTTGACACTTACCAGCTGTGTGACCCTAGGCAAGTTACTTAACCTGGAATACCTCACCAAAAAGCAAAAAAAAAAAAAAAGACACTAATATAACACATACAACGCATGCATGTATATATACACATATAATACTTAATGTTATATTTAATAGATACAAATCTAATATATATTCTATACAATAAAATATAAATATAATATATACACATACATATATGTATACACATATATGTATGTGTATATATTTGTACATATACATGCATACACACACAAAATATATGCAGGCAGAAAAGATGGTTCTGGGGTCAGCTAGGTGGCGCAGTGGATACAGCACCGGCCCTGGAGTCAGGAGGATCCAAGTTCAAATCTTGCCTCAGACCAAACACTTGACACTTAATAGCTGTGTGACCCTGGGCAAGTCACTTGACCCCAATTGCCTAAAAAAAAAAAGAAAAGAAGATGGTTCTGGAGTCAAAACATATGGGTTTAAATCCTGTCTCTAATACTTAACTACCAGTGTGACTGTAGGTAAGTCACAGTTAAGCTCACCTAACCTCTTTAAGCCTCAGTTTTCTCATCTGTAAAATGGGAGGCTAACCTAATTATCTCAGGGGGTGGTGAGGGAAGAGCTCTGTTAACCTTAAAATACTATAGGAACATGGGCTCTTATAGTATGAGTCCTTTTTAAAAGACTCTCCCTGGGGGCAGCTAGACTGTGGCCCTGGATTCAGGAGGATCTGAGCTCAAATCCAGCCTCAGACACATAACACTTGCTAGCTGTGTGACTCTGGGCAAGTCACTTAGCCCCATTGCCTAGCCAAATGAATGAATGAATGAATGAATGAATGAATGAATGAATGAATGAATGAATGAATGAATGAATGAACAAATAAACAAACACACAAACAAACAAATGAATGAATGAATGAACAGATAAATAAATAAATAAATAAATAAGAGGCTCTCCCTCTACAACCTACTGTCCTGGTTTCCTTTCATATTAAGTCCCTTCACAAACTCTCCTTTCTGCTGTCAAACTGGACAAATAGCCATTCCTTGTACAGGGTCCTCCCATCTCCCTTATGTACAAGCTACTCCCATGTACCTGGACTACACTCTCATCGGTTCATAGAGCTAGGGCTGGAAGTGTGAATTTCAAAGCTCAATCCCTTCAATTCGCAGATGAGGAAACTGAGGCCCAGAGAGTTTAAGTGACGTACCTGCCCAGGGGTGATATAGTAAGTCCAGGAGCTGGGATTCCAACCTAGGTCCTCCAACCATGTGACTTCCTATTTCAACTCTCTGGGCCTCAGTTTCCCTACCTGCCAAGTCGGTTGGGAACCCCTTCACTAGGTCACAGGGCTATTCTGGGAGAAGGGTTTTGGAATTCTCAATGTGTGCTCATCCACAACAGGTGGTTATTATTGTTTTTATTAGTAGGAGACATAAAAATAAGAAGTGGTAGGAGGCCACCTTCCCAGACACTCCCCCTCAATACCGGCTCAGCAGTAAGCTGTGGGTGATTTAACCCAAGTGGCCTTTTCCAGTGGGATGGCTGACTAAGCTGCACATTGCTCATTCAGTGAAATCGGTGCTGAGCTGGGGAGCTTTAGGCTGGGCTGAGGTCATAGATGGGGCAAGTGACCCCGACCGTGATCGAAGCCAGCTCTGAGCCCAGAGGAAGAGCATCTGGGGAAGGACCCAAAGATTCCTCTGATATAGGAGTCTGGGTCCATAATCTGATTCCTTACTGAGCTGCCTAATCTCAAAAGGGGGAAAAAACCGAACTTCTCTGGCGAGATGTTTGACCATAAATAGGTTTCTCAGGGAACTGGTTAGGAGATAAGAACGCAGCAGTGTTTGTTTGTTGGGGGAAGTGTCTGTGTTACTTTCCTGTGGGTGTGTGTGTGTGGAGGCTTTGGGAGAAGCTTCTCCTCTGTCCCCACCAGCCCTGAAACCCCCTGAAGGCTTCCCCATTTGGCACTGTGGACTCTGGCTCCCAACCTTTCCCAAGATTTCCTAATATGGAGTGGGGACACTTTCTCCCCAGTCTCTGCCTCTGAGGAGGGGCGGGGTTGGGCAGTGTTGCTGCTCCCTGGCTTTCTAACCATGCCCTCATGGTTGATTACCCATGCTTTGTTTTTCATGGGATATGGGCAAGTTTGTAGAATCTTTCGATAATAACAGCAGCAACAATGACAGCTACACATATATCACTTCATGGCTTGCAAAGCACTTTATCTTTATCACAAATATTATCTCATATGGTCCTCACAACCAATCCGGGCAGTGGGTGTTATTATTATCCCCATTTCACAGCTGAAGAAACTGAGGCAAACAGGGTTAAGCGACTTGCCCAGGTTCACATAGCTAGTAAATGTCTGAGGCTGGATTTGAACTCAGGTCTGCCTGATTCCAGGTCCAGCCTTCTATCCACTTGGCTCCCCAGCTGCAAAGCATTTCTCATGTTCCACATCTATTGTTTGTCAGGTACTAACCCATCTTCTACAAGAAACCATTTCTGGGGCAGCTAGGTGGCACAGTGGATAGAGCACCAGCCATGAAGTCAGGAGGACCTGAGTTCAAATCTGGCCTCAGACCAAACACTTGACACTTACTAGCTGTGTGACCCTGGGCAAGTCACTTAACCCCAATTGCCTTTAAAAAAAAGAAAGAAACCTTTTCTAAGCCCTCCTTCTGAGACTACTTTCAATTTATCTTGTCTATGTGTCATTGTTTAGTTGTTTTTCAGTCATATCTGACTCTTTGTGACCCCATTTAGGGTTTTCTTGGCAAAGATACTGGAGTGATTTGCCATTTCCTTCTCTAGCTCATTTTACAGATGAGGAAACTGAGGCAAACAGGGTTGAGTGACTTGCCCAGGGTCATACAGCTAGTTAAGTGTGTGTTGGGTCAGATTTGAACCTGGGGCCTCCTGACTCCAGGCCCAAGTGCTTTATCTACCACTCCACCAAGTTGCCCCTGTCTATAGCTTGTTAATTTAGATGTTGTCTCTTCCATTAGACTGTGAGGGCCGTAAGAACAGAGACTGTGGCTTTTTTGCCTTTCCTCTATTGCCCAGCACTTAATACAGTACCTGACACATAGCAGGTACTTAAAAAATGCTAGTTGACTGACTGATGGACTAGATGCTGTAGTAATACAAAGACCAAAAGTAAATAAAGAAGAAAAAACTTTCTGACCTCAAAAGGCTGACATTCTACTGCACAAAAATCCATGGATCTAGGTCAGTCATTGTGAAAAAGGGGCTGACCTAGTCACATGCCTCCCCAGTAGTCAGAAGTCTGTGTTCTGGTAGCTTTATGTGCCCGGCACATCATAAATATGACATTTAAATAAATGCCTATTGATCTGATTTGATAGGACCTGATCGATGATGTCAGCCAGAGTAGATCTTTTGCTTATCAGAGTCCAAATCCTGATTTGCTTTCGCCCCTTTCCCACCTTTTAGGGACCTGTCTCAGTCGTCAAGAAGGCATCATCCAGGCTCAGTCATTCTAAAAGTATGCACTGAGCTCAGTTCTATTTGGAGGTGGGTGAGTAAGATACAGTCCCTGCCCTGAAGGAGTTTTCAGTCTAGCTTCTGGATCGGCATATTAAAAAGCATTTGTCAAATGCCCACCAGGCTGAGGAGAAATAGGGAACCAGTGAAGATTCAGAGGGGAAGGAGATCTGAACAAGGGCAGAGGACAGAAGGGGGACAGTTGTGAGAGATGTGGAAAAAAAGCTGATGTCACACCAAGTGGAAGAAAAAGAGGCAGTGTATGACTGGTTGGCCTCTTGGAGATAGCTTTTGAGAAGAGAAGATGTGACCTTAGTTGGGGACTGGAGGAAGGAAGGATCCTTTCCTACCTTCTCATAATGGCAGGGACAGGTGAAGGGCTCTCATTCTCCACGTGGAACATGCAGTCAAGTGGTTTAAGTTGTCTGCCTTGCCTCTTTCTTTCATGTCTTCTTTTTTCCACCTTCAGCAGCTTGACCATTGAAAGAAAGTCTGTGACAAGGGTAACATCTACCAGAGCAGTGGAGGTTGTACAGTGGTCACTATATAGGGCCTGTGACAGAGAACTCAGTGAGAGGCCCCCAGAAGGAAAATCTCAGTAGGTGTTTTACCAGACAATTTATCATCATACAGCTAAGAAATAAAAAATGACTAAATAGCAGCCTTGCTATTGCGTGGTATTCCAAGGAGGCTTAAATATTAGCCTCTCAAGTGATTGTGTTAATTGTGATAAGTTACTGGATTCTGTTCTAATCATTCTGTGATTCTTTATTGTTTAGTATCCTCTGTGCTTTGTGGGAATAAACTCCCCTCTCTGATCCATGTTTGTACGGAAGATAACATTTTTTCAAACTTTCTTCTTCTTGATGGGGAAAACCCTACATTTCAAGGTTATAAATTAAACAGCAACTTGCCTTGGGAATTAAAGGGGTGATGGTGGAATGAAACACAGAGTAACCTCGTTCTGCTATCAATGAACACAGGACAAAACCACATGGCCGGGTATGAAGCAGAGGGATTTACCCTTACCCACCATGAGCCCCAACAGCTATTACCCTTGGCAATGGGTTCTTAACCTTTATTGTCTCACAAACTCCTTTGGCAGTTTGGTAAAGACTCTGGATCCCTTCTCAGAATAATATATTTTAAATTCATAAAACAAAATACAGAAGATTACAAGGAAAACCAATTATACTGACATGTAGTTATTAAAATATTGGGAATAAATTAATGGATTACCTGAACTCTATACACAGACCTATTAGGGGTCTGTGGACCCAGGTTAAGAACTCCTGATCTAGTCTCTATGCTAGAAGAGTAATAATAACGAACCCCCTCAAAACTCAATGTCGTCCATGCTATGAGGCACTTGGAGTGGGGGACAGAAACAAATTAGTAGATGTCACTAAGGGTAATATTCAGACTGATGCCTGCTTTGATGATATCAAAATGTCATTTGTACTTGGTAAGCATAAGATTCTCAATATATGCCAAGAATAGAGCCTGAAGGCTTTGAAGTTGAATTGGGAGGCCAAATAAAGCCAATGGATAAAGGTGATAGCTATGAATATCCCAGGGCAGCTAGGTGGCACAGCTATAGAGCACCATGCCTGGGCTCAGTAAGCCCTGTATCCAAATCCAGCCTCAGGCACTTAGTAGCTGTATGATTCTGAACAAGTCATTTAACCTCTCTCTGCCTCAGTTTTCTCATCTGTAAAACGAGCTAGAGAAGGAAATGGTAAACCACTCTAGCATCTCTTCCAGGAAAACCCCAAATGGAGTCACGAAGAGTCAGAACTGACTGAAATGATTGAACAACAACATGAATTATTTCCGTCTTCTCCAGGCAAGTCACATTGGTCACAAAGTTATCCAGGAGAAAGTTGTGACTGTATAAGCAAAGCAACTTAGTAGCATCCTGAAGTCAAAGCTCAAGCAAGATATACATTTTAAGTCAAGCAGCACCCATGCAATACCAGTCATTGTTCACCTTTGGAACAGTAAAACAGATTCCTAAGGCTTTAGAAAGTGTATAAAACAAATCTATATTTGTAGCTTGCAACCCCAAGGTAGCCACAGAAAGGTCAATGCTTCCTTGTCTGAAAGGAGGAAGAGGACTGATAAATATTCTCAGACTGCATGATCAATAGCTTAAAACTGCATAGAAATACTTCCTCAACAAACTCTCCTTCATTCAATCAATAAACATTTGTTAAATGACTACTATGTAACTATAGTAAAGACTGACTGTGGATGTAGGTTCTTGAACCTATCAATGTCACTTACGATGCACAGAGGAAAGAACCTCCAATTGGGAGTCAAAAGATCTGAGTTAAATTATCACTTCTGATAATATATTTGAGGGAGCATGGTATAAGAAAGGACACTAGATTTGGGTTCAGACCCTGACTTTTATTGCTTTGCCCTGCGTGACTTTGGGGAGGTCAATTGACATTTCTGAGTCTCACTTTCCTCACCTGTAAGAAGGGCTTCAACTAGCTGGCCTTCCTGGTCTCTTGAATGTCTAAAGCTATGATCCTGTGATCCTTGGATTCTATTTCTAGATGGAACCTTTGAAATAGCTAAGATGAAAGAATGTAATCAAAAGGCCCTCTAAGGGTGACACCCACATGAATTCAAGCAAGAAGAAAGTCCACAAGAACTGTCAAAGAAATCATTTGAGTCCAGCAGATTTGTTCACAGAAATGGAAGAGGTTCCTGGGACTGATATAAGATTAGGCCATTGCTACCATCAATACTATATAGTAAGTTCATCCTTTTTTGTAAAAAATATTTTTATAGTATTTTATTTTTTCACAATTACATATAAAGACAATTTTAACATTCACTTAAAAAAATTTGAGTTCCAAATTATTTTCCTCTCTCGCTTACCTCCTCCCTCCCTAAAATTTTAAGCAATTTGATATTTGTCATACATGAACAATCATGTAAAATGTATTTCCATGTTAGTTGTGTTGTGGAAGAAGAAACAGACCAAAAGAAAAAAAACATGAAAAAAAGTGAAAAATAGTATGCTTCAATCCGCATTCAGACTTCATTCCTTCTTTCTGTGGATGTGGATAGCATTTTTCACCAGGTGTCCTTTGGAATTCTCTTGCATCATTTTGCAGCTGAGAATAGCTAAGTCATTCACAGTTGATCATCATAAAATATTGCTGTTACTGTGTACAGTTGTTCTCTTGGTTCTGCTCACTTCATTTTGCAACAGTTTATGTAAGTCCTTCCATGTTTTTCTGAAATCCTCCTGCTCATCATTTCTTATATCACAGTAGTGTTCCATTGTAATCCTATAACCATGCCCCAATTGATGGGCATTCCCTCAATTTCCAATTCTTTGCCACCACAAAAAAGAGCTGCTATAAATATTTTTGTATAAATAGTCCTTTCCCATTTTCTTTTATCTCTTTGGGATACAGATCAGGTAGTGATATTGCTGGGTCAAAAGGGTATGCACAGTTTAATTGCCCTTTGGGTATTGTAGAAAGTTCATTCTTAAAGATCCTGGACTTATTGGTCAGTGAAGATTTTGCAAAGAAAATGTAGAAACTGTGCAACATACATCAGTAGGTTGGAAAAATTTAGCATCTACAGAATACCTGAGAAATATCATAGCATAAGGGTTAGAGCATCGAACTTGGTGTCAGACAGAGGTTAAATGACTTGTCTGGGTAAAGTAGCTGCTTGACCCTGGGCGAGTCACTTAACCTCTGTCTGCCTCTGTTTCATCTTCTGTAAAATGTCAGGGTTAGACTTGATCTCTAAGGTCCTTTATAATGCTAAATTTATGATAGAAAGACATAACCAAGTAGCCCAGATTAGACACAAGAAATCTGCTGCCCTTTATAAAATAGCAGATGACAAATCCTTGTATTAAAAAAAGAAATGATAAAATATCCCTGAGAATTCAAAAGATAATTTTGTTTTTGTTTAGTCACGCCCCATTAGTTAGTTCATTATCCAATTTGGGATTTTCTTATCAGAGATACTGGACTGGCTTACCATTCCCTTCTCCAGCTTATTTTACAGATGAGGAAACTGAGGCAAACAGGATTAAGTGACTTGTCTAGGGTCCCACAACTTTCAAGTGTCTGAGGTTGCATTTGAACTCATGAAGTTGTCTTCTAGATTCTAAGCCCAGCTGCCCCCAAAGAGCCATCCTTTTAGTGAAGAATAAAAAAGGGGGGCGGAAACTAAGTAAGCAAAAGAAGCTACATATCGAAAAATCTAACTATATGCAGCATTCCACATGCAGAGACCTTCACCTCTACAAAGAAGCTAGGGGTGAGAGGGAGATGCCTCCTTATATTTCAGCTCTGGGTCCAAGATGGATCATAACATTGACAGGATTCAGTTTTGATTGTTTTATTGATATTGAAGATGCCTCTTTGCAGTTTTCATGAATTGTTTCTGATTCTGCCCTCTGGGGCCAAGCAAAACAAGTGTACTCCTTGTCCGTATGACAGGCTTTCAGATTCTTGAAGACAGCTCTCATGTCCCTCCTGAGCCTTCTTTTCTTTTTGCTAAATGTGGCCAGTTCCTTCAACTGTTATTCATAACTCAAAGATTCAAGACCCTTCATCATCCTGCTTGTCCTCCTCTGGACACTTTATGGCATATCAACAACATCCTTCCTAAATGACGGTGCCCGGAACTGAACACAGAACAGGACAGAGAAGTGAAGGGACTATCTTCGCACTCTGGTAATCCATGATTTTCTTAATGTGATGAAGGGTGCATTGGCTAATTGGGCTACTACATCACACCTTGAAATTTGCAGTCCTTTAGATCTTGACTAGACAAACTGCTGTCTAACCATGCTGCCGCCATCTTATACTTGGGAAGTTGACTTTTTCCACCCAAGCGTGTGACTTTACATTTGCTAAATTTTATTTTTACTAGATTCAGTCCACTGCTCTAACTTGTCAAGATCTTTTTTTATATCCTGATAGTTATGCAGGCTGTTAGCTAGCCCTGCCCCTCATCTTTGTGTAGGAACGTGTCATCCATGCCTTTATTCAAGTCATCAAGTCTCCTCCATCTCTCTCCAAGCAATCACTAGATGGTGAGAGGGCAGGAGATCTTAGTTTGTAACTCACCAAAAGGGAAGAAGGTACATTGAGGAGGTCTGGTATCATTTGGATTACATCAGTCTTCAGTATTTTCTTATGTGCAGCAAACGGCTCTGTTTATTTTAATCTAAATTATGTATATCATTGAGAGGGGCTTTGGATCTTACACTGTTTGAGATTGGGTTGAAGAAACTGGAGATGTTTGCCTAAAGGAGAGAAATCTTAGGGAGCCCATAAGATCTATGTTTACACATTTAAAGGTTCATCATATGAAATAGGGATTAGCTTTATTCTGCTTGGCCTCAGAGTGCAGAACTATGGGTACAGGGTAGAAGCTGCTGAGAGGCAGAGATAAGCTCGTAGGTTCCCTCTCACTGAGGATCAGTTTCCTCATTTCCAAAATGGAAGTACCCACACCTCACCGTGTCTTGTCAAAGATCAATAAAGACAATATATGTAAAGTATGCCTTAAAGCTCTCTTTAAATAGCAATGACTACTTGTATCATTTACCATGAGGACCCCATCTACATGGCGAATTCATAATAAAAATTAAACAATGAAGCAACATTCAGTAGGCACCTACCATGAACCAAGCATTGTGTTAAGCACTTTACAAATGTTTTCTCATTTGAATTTGTGTATGAATGAGCATGTGTATATGTGTGAGTTAAATGTGTGTGTGAGCGTGCATGTGTGTATGTGAGTGTGTGTATGTGAGTGTGTATGTGTATGGTGTATATGTGTGTGGTGAGAGAGAGAGAGAGAGAGAGAGAGTGTGTGTGTGTGTGTGTGTGTGTGTGTGTGTGTGATAATAACCCTGGGAGGTACATACTATTGTTACCTTTGCTTTACAGTTGAGGAAACTGAAGCAGGCTGAGGTTAAGTGACTTGTCTATGGTCACACAGCTAGTAAGTATCTGAGGTAGGATTTGAACTCAAATCTTCCTGACTCCAGACCTCTAGCTCTAGGCACCATCTCACAGATTTAAAGCTGGAAGGAACTGTAAAGGCCAACTCCCTCATTTTGAAAGAGGAGGAAACTGAGGTCCAAAATATATAAGCTACTTGCCCAGGGTCACACAGCTAGTAAGGATTCTAGGCAGGATCTGAACTAAGGTCTTCCTGTCAGTGTTTCATAGCTGGTCCCCTGCTGCTTACATGCACTGCTCCAGTGTCTGAGAAGCAGGAGGGGCGCTTTAAGCCCCAAATACTTCATGACTTAATTCCTCCAGTGTTTGTTCAAGCTAATGACATTAATCCCAGAGAACCTGCTCAGTATTAATATCATTCCAGGGGGAATTTGTTCTATTTCTATCTGTGTGAGGAGGCACTTGTCATGAAATGTTGTTAATTTATTTTGGTCACCAGGCACCAAGGCTAATGCAAAATGCAGTTTGTGTGTGTGTGTGTGTGTGTGTGTGTGTGTGTGTGTATGAATGAGTGTGTATGTGAGTGTATAAATGTGAGAGTAAATGTGTGTGAGCATGCATGTCTGTATGTGAGTGTGTGTGTTAGTGAATGTATGTGTGTATGTGTGTAGTGTGTGTATGTTATGAGCATGTGTACGTGCTCGAAAGAGTGTATGTATGTTTGTGTATGTGAGTGTGTGTATGAAGAGCGTGTATATATGTGTGAATTAAATGTGTGCATGAGTGTGCATGTATATATGTGAGTGTGTATGTGTATGGTGTGTGTGTTGTGAGCATATGTACACTCTTCAAAGAGAAAGAGAGAGAGAGAGAGTGTGTTGGGGAGCACAGTGTGGGCAGGGAAGGAAAGGGCTGTCCCCATCAATCTCTGCTACCTCTAGGTCCCTCTCTTCTAAGCTTTGTACAGGGATTTAAAGTGAGTGGCTAGTATAGGGAGCTATCAGTGGGAATTGTAATGCTTGGGGCAATTCAGTGGGAAGGGTAAAGGGCAGAGGGATGGATTGTAGCTGAGGGGTCGCCTCCCAGGCCATGGCTCATCTCTGCCTGGGGGCACACTGAGGTGTGACTATTAGGAAAGATGCTGGCTTTGCATTCAGAGGCACTGGGTTCAAACCCAGCCCTTCCATTTACTTTCAGTGTGACTTTGGACAAGCCTCTCTGGGCTTCTGTTTCCTTATCTGTAAAATAAAGGGCAGCTCTATGGTGCAGTGGATAGAGCTCTTGGCCCACCTGGAGTCAGGAAGACTCATCTTTGTGAGCTCAGTGTGGTCTCAGACACTTACCGCGTGACCCTGGCTAAGTCACTTAAATCTGACTCAATTTCTCATCTGTAAAAGGAGCCGGACAAAGGTGCTAATTAAGCATATGTCAGGGCAGGTAGGTGGCACAGTGGATAGAGCACCAGGCCTAGAGTCAGTAAGACCTGAATTCAAATCCAGCCTTAGACACTTACTAGCTGTGTGATCCAGGGCAAGTCACTTAACCCTGTTTGCCTCAGTTTCCTCTTCTGTAAAATGAGCTGGAGAAGAAAATAGCAAACCTCTCCAGTATCTTTGCCAAGAAAACTCCAAGGTGCAGGTAGGTGGTGGAGTGGATAGAGTACTGGCACTGAAGTCAGGAGGAACTGAGTTCAAATCTGGCCTCAGACCAAACACTTGACACTTACTAGCTGTGTGACCCTGGGCAAGTCACTTAACCCCAATTGCTCCCCCTGAAAAACAAACAAAAAACTCCAGATGGGGACGTGGAGAGTCAGAGATGACTGAAATGACAGCAGCAGCGAAATGAAGGGATTGGATTGCATGATCTCTAAGGTACCTTCCATTTCTAAATGTATGTTTCCATGACCTTTTTGGACCTCAGCTTTCCCATCTGTAAATGGGGATAATGCCTGATAAGGAGAGTAGCTTGGTAGGCAGAGGTAGCCAAGGACAGCTGGGTTTAAGTTGATATTTTACAGGTACCCCCTTCATCACCCTGGGTAAATCACTTAACTTTTAAATGCCACAAGTATTTCTATAAGACTGTAAGTTACTGAGGAGGTGCCACTCTAAAGCAGGGGAGGTCATTTCCACATTGGGAGCTCTCACACCAAGGCAATCACAGGTCCTGGGCAGGGTTGTTGTTAAAGCCTTTACAAACCCAAAGGAACAGCTGAAATGCTAAGCTGACAGTGAGCTGACAGCCTTTGACAAGAGTACACCTCCCTCCAAGAATTTCCTTGGATAAACTGGAGATAATGATTCCTACTTTGCCTCTCTCATGGGGTCATTCCGAGAATTAAATACGAGGATTTATTTAAAATCTTGAAAAGTGATTTTCATTTTTCTGTTTATATTTCCAGCACCTGGTCCAGTATCTGCAATGTAGCCAGAGTTTAATACACCCTTGTCAGTTGGCCAGTTCACTGATTGATGGTAAAAATTCCCCCAGAGATGGAAATGACTTGTCCAAGGCCAAACAGTAAGTACCTGACAGACCTGGTAACTTCAGATCCAGAGTTCTCCCCCACAGACCCATTCTTCCCCAGACATTCTCCCCATGTTGTTTCTCTTAGAGGGGATGCACAGAGCTACCAGACTGTTTTTTTCCCCCGACAAACTCCTGAAACATTTCCCCAGGGAGATATTTTACAGGCTTACCATCCCTCCTGCCAAGAAAGCTCAAGCAATTGTAATTTGCACTGTATACATTTTGCCTCTTCACCTCTACGAGTCTCTAGTTACTTGTCTGGAAAATAGGGATAATTGTACTTGTAGCACATACCTGGCAGATTTGTCATAAGGGCAAATTGTGTTGCTGAGGGCTTGGCTATAGGAGAAACCCACATGGGAGAGATACCATGGCTTAGGGGAAGGAGAGCTGACTTGGGTTCAGGTCTCACCCTTAATACAATATCCTAATAGCTAGAATTTACTTGTTTTGAGGCTTACATGTGTTACCTCATTTGATAGTAGGTGCTTGCTAAATGCTTAGTGACCAACTGATTCTCACAACAAACCTATGAAGTAGGTGCTGTTATTGTGCCCATTTTTCAGATGAGGGAACTGAGACTTAGAGAGGTTAAAGGGTTTGCCCTGAGTCTGAAGTAGCATTTGAACTTGAGTCTTCTAGACTCCAAATCCAGTACTCGACCACCTAGCTGCCCATCGTGACTGTGTGAGCCCAGGAAAGTTCCCTAGTCAAATCTCTGAGACTATATATAAATTTCAGAGAAGGTACTTAGGAGGATTTTTCTCCTTAGGAGTTCTCTGTACCAAAGATCTAGGACGTTCAGCTCCATCCCATACATTGTGTAAATTTACATGTATACTTAATCGCTCTCCTTATAGAATGCAAGCTCCCTGAGGACAAGGACTGTCTTTTTTTTTCTCAGCATATCTTCAGCACCTGGTATACAGCAGGCATTTACTAAAGGCTTGCTTGCTTGAGCCTCTCCATTTGTTTGTAGTGAAGCCAAGCATGCTAGCCCCAGCATCAGAGCCCTCCATGGACTCATCGGACGGAAGGCACATCTCGTTCGTCCCCTTGCAGCAGGAACGCTTTCAGCTGATGGCAGAGGCGTGCTTCATCATCAGGGCATCGCGAAGAGTGGACTGGTGTGGAAAGGGAGGGAGGGTGTGGAAGACTCTGGCTCCGTTTTTGACTCTGCTCTTTATCTCCGTGCCTCAGCTGCCTTCTCCCTGGGAAGTTCCCTTAGCTATCCCTGTGGGTTGTCGGCCCTTCCTAAGCGCCTGGGAACATCATCTTGCCCCTGAGTCCTCTTCTCCCGGTAGGGAGTTCCCCTCAGAGCCTCCGCTTTGAGGCAGGGCCCGTTCCTCCATTCCTCTCCCGATTTGACTTCTCACTCTCTGGATTTCCCCACCAAACCTCTCCACAGGTACCTCCTCTCCCATCCCCTGATTCTTTTCAGCTTCCTTCGGTATGTCTTCACACGTTAGAATATAAGCTCCCTGAGGTCCAGAACTAGCCTTTAGCTTCTATGTGCATCCCCAATGTTCAGCATAATGACCGGCATACGGTAAGTGCTTAATGAATGCCTGTTGACTTGTTGCATGGAAGGGTGGGCTGCCAGAGAGAGAGGACCATGTGTGACTCTGTCCAGGCTGACTGAAAGGTAAGTCCTGGCCACATCCAAAGGTAATGGAAATTCTCACTTCTATGGGGCTTTGAGGCAACCCTCTGACAAGGGGTGGTGGCACAAATATAATTTTTCCCATTTTACAGATGAGGAAAACTGATGCTCACGTTAAATGACTTGCCCATGGGGAGGTATAGTGGAAAGAGTGCCAGATTTAGATTCAAAGGACCTGAGTACGAATCCTGGCTTGGTTACCGTCTATCGATGTGACCTTGGGCAGATCAATGAAATTTATGGGCCTTAGTTCAAAGAGGGGGTTGGGCTAGGAGTATTGGGCCTAAATTCAGGAAGACCTGAGTTCAAATCCAGCTTCAGACACTTACTATCAAATGAGATATTTGTCAAGTGTTTGCCACGATGCCTGACACATAATCGGTGTAGTACGAGTGCTTATTTCTTTCCCTCCCCCTTACTAGCTGGATGACCCTGGGCAAATCACTTAACCTCTGCTTACCTCAGTTTCCTCAAGTGTAAAATAGGGTAGCAATAGCACCTACCTTGCAGGTTTGTTGTGAGGGAATTTTTGTGAAGTGCTTAGCCCAGTGCCTGGCACATAGTAGGTGCTTCATAAATTCTAGCTCCCTTCCTTCTTTCTTTTGTAATTTCTACTCACTGTCCTTGGCCCCGTCCTTTAGGGCAAAACCAAATCCAAATCCCTCTTCTCTGTGATTGCCCTTCAAATATTACAGTTATCCCGTCCCCTGCCTCACCCCAGGGTCTCCTCTTCTCCATACTCGATCCACAATTTCAACCAACTTCATATGACATGAACTTGAGGCCCTTTGTAAAAGGTGGCCACCCTTCTCTGAACACTCTCTAGCTCATCAGTATCTTTCCTAAAGTATGGTGCCCAGAAATGAACACTACTCCATGTGTGGTCTGATCAGGGCAAAAGATAGTGAGAATTTTCTTTTTTCTCCTGGGTGCCAAGATTGCTTTTGAGAGATCCTCTAAGGCTACCTGGTTATAAATGTCTTCCCTTAATAGCTCATCCCCTTCCAACTCCAAAGGGAAGACAACAGGTCCTTCATGAGAACTCAATATGGTTGGACTTTTTCTTTATGACATAGCCTTTTAAAAAACTTTTTTTATACAGACCATCAAATCAAATTCCCCCGGGAGAAAAAAGGACAGAATGCCTGACAGTGGAGATGAAAGGAAGCTTTACAAGGACATAAAACAAGCCCAGCAATGTCAACCACCCTCAATGAAAGGACTCAAGAGAAAAGCAGAAGATGAGAGAGAAGTCATTGAGAAGGTCTGCTTGCCTTCTTCTCTAATGCCTTACTTCATTCTCAAGCCTGGTCTCTTTGGAGTTGGATTCTGAAGAAGGCTGGGCTCAGATGAGAGGAAATTTGGTTCATGGACAGGACTGGAGGGCTTGGCTCTGTAACGGGATGGAGCCCTCCAGGTCAGATGAGCCAAGAAATACTTAAGATCTGCCAAACCCCAAAGCCCTCTACCCTGCACTGAGTGAGATCAGGGGCTCATGTACTGGGAAAATGGCAACTGTCCTCCTTAGGAAATTTCTTCTTCATGAAATGGTAGAGGGTCATGGGAGGGAACTGTTATAGGGAGAGGGTAACTCCAACACACCCTCATCTGAGGAGTCTCCAGGGAACTCTCTCTCTCTCTCTGTCTCTCTCTCTCTGTCTCTCTCTCTCTCTCTCTCTCTCTCTCTCTCTCTCTCTCTCTCTCTCTTTCTCCCATCACTCCTCTCCTCTGTCTGTCTATCTCTCTCTCCGTGTTTTTCCTCTCCCCTCTCCTCTCTCTCTCTCTGTCTCTGTCTCTGTCTGTCTGTCTGTCTCCCTGTTTCTCTCCCTCTGTCTCTCCTCTCCTCTCTCCTCTCTTTCTCTCTCTCTCTGTCTCTGTCTCTCTGTCTCTCTGTCTCTCTCTCTGTCTCTCTCTCTCTCTCTCTCTCTCTCTCTCTCTCTCTCTCTCTGTTTCTGTCTCTGTCTCTGTGTTTCCGTCTGTCTGTCTCTCTCTGTCTCTTTCTCTCTCTATCTCTCTGTCTCTGTCTCTGTCTTTCTCTCTCCCTTCCTGTCTCTGGCAAGTGGTGGGAAGATCATATCACAGGGAGGTGATGTACATGGGAAATGAGGCATGCCTGAGAAAAGCAATGTTTTCTGTCTTTGAGGGAAATGAGTTCTAGGTGAGACCCTTTGTTTACCTGCAGGCTTTAGGTAGTCAATAAATTTCTTGGAGCTCTGGAAAATGGAGAGAGAAGACTCCATGACTTCTATCACTCACTCACTCAGTCAGTCAGTCAACAAACATTTATTCCTATACACAAAGTTACTATTCTCCTAGCTTTTATTTCTAATAAAACAGCAATATTAATGTGATGTTTTATAATTTACAAAAGGGATCATACATCTAGAGCCATAAGGGACCTCAGAGGCCATTGAGGCAGTACTCTTATTTTATAGATAGGGAACTGAGTCTTAGAGAGGTCATAGTATGAGAAAAAACAAAGATTCAGAACTGAGACAGGTTTTAGGAGTCATTTTTCCAGCCCTTTCACTTTACAAATGAGGAAACTGAGGCATAAGGAAGAAGAAGGTTGGGACATAGAACCTTGGAATGTCAGAGGAGGAAGAAATTTGAGAGGCAATGTGGCATAGAAGAACCTGATTTTATTATAAAATCCAAAGGGCTGGGTTTTAATCCTACTAATTTAATTTAATTCCATTAATTTAATCTTCTAATTGTTATCTCTGTGACCTTGGGCAAATCATTTGTTTTTCTTGGTCTTAGTTTCGGCTTCTAAACACACCCTCTTTCGACCTGAGAAGTGAGGAAATGAAGGGTTCTGGAGTCTTTCTGCCTCCTGTCATGGGAGTCAGGCCCAGCTCCCAGCAGCTCAGGAAAGCATTTTTTCAGGGAGTTGTGACTTTTTAATAGAAGTTGGTGCCTGCACAGGAATTGTGCTCAGCGATTAATTTCCATCTAAATGAGGTTTTCTGGGAGATAACCAGTGTTTTAGTTCTGCTGGAACTTAATTTCTATGACCGAAGCCACCATTTCTGCCGGTTCCAATTTGCGGCATGCTTGGGGCTCCTGCTAACTTCGTAATGATGCCTGTCGATTGTCGATCATGGCGCCTCGGGCTGGCCGAAAAGAGCCGATGGCAGGAGACATTGTCAATCTCCTTTTCCACATCATTCAATAAATAGGAAATAAATTATTAAGGAGAGAATGATGACCTATTACATGCCAGGCTTCATGGCATTTGCAAGGTATAGCCAAGGCGCATTTTAATGGATGGACTGAAGCTTAGTACAGTGTAAAAGAATTTCAGGTTTGATGACAGAAGAAAGTGACCCAGGGCAAATCACTCAACCTCTCTGGGCCTCAGTTTCCTCATCTATTAAATAAAGGGGTTGGACTGGATGGCTTCTGGGGTCCCTTCCAGCTCTGAATCCAGGAGTATCAGAGTGATGCAGTGAATAGGATGCTGGATTTGGAGTCAGGAAGACCAGCCTCAGACACTTACTAGTTGTATGACCCTGGACAAGTCACTTCACCTCAGTCTGCCTCAGTGGCCTCACTGGTAAAACAGAGATAATAACAGTATCTATCTTGCAAGGTTGTCATGAGGATCAAATGAAATAATATTTGTAAAGTGCTTAACACAGTGCTGGCACACAGTAGGTGTTTATTCCCTTCCCTTAATGTGACCTCTCTGGGTCTCAGTTTCCTCTTCTGCAACATGAAGGGTTTGGACTTAATGGTCCATGAGGTCCAAACAACTCTGAATTTTTGAAACTATGATTTTCAAACAAGTTTTAATTATGGACACATGGCCCAGTGCTAATAAAAAAAAAGGTTGATTATTCTGAATTGGGGACAGTTAGATTATGAAGACATCTTAATAACACTCTATGAGCCCTTTGGATGTATATTGTGGTGTTGTGGTATAAAGGACCCTATTCAGTCAATCAGGAAGGCAACGGGTCATTTAGTCAACATAGTCTTCCTATGTTCCAGAAGCTGGGCTAAATTCTAGGGATACAGAAAAAAAAAGGGTGTATGTATGTGAACAATACACAAGGAGCTTACATGCTAATTAGGGAGACAATCTAAAAATAATTTGGTATGTGTGATATTTATACATATTGATACATATGCATACACAAACACATGCATGGATATGTACATGTGTGCACAGGTGTGTACGTATACATATGCTCGTGTAGTATATGCATTGCATTTGAATGAACATGTACACACATGTATGTGTATACAAATATGTGAATATTTATACCTCTGAATATATTGTGCATTTACATACATGTATGGGTATGTACATACATATGGATGTCTGTATGTATATATGGTATTCCTTTTATAGAAGAGGATATGAATGCCAGAGACTGGAAAGTGACCTGCCTTAAGTCATGTGTGTAAAAAGAAAGACAGCAAGGATTTCTTTTGACTTCAGATACAGGTGTTTTTTCTACTATCTATATTTTTGGGGGTGGAGGCCCAGCCTGTGATTTAAAGAGTTTCGAGGAACTCCCAGTGTGGACTCTCCCTTCCACATACAGATCTGTATCTCCTTTGTAACTTATGGTCTTAAAAGAGTTACCTGGGAGACCCTGAGAGCTCAAGCCAGGGTCTCATAGACAGTATGTGTCAGAAGCAGGACTCGAACCCAGGTCTTCCTGAGCTCCAGCTCTCTGCCCATTACATCAGGTTGCTTCTTATCTCCTACACACACACACACACACACACTCTCTCTCTCTCTCTCTCTCTCTCTCTCTCTCTCTCTCTCTCTCTCTCTCTCTTCAAATTTTAGAACTGGGAGGAACCTTCCACCAAGAGCCCCTCATAACCTCCTTATAACCCATTGGGAAATGTGTCTGGTAGAATGTAAGCCCCTTGAGGGCAGGGACTCTTAATTCTGTCATCGTGTCCCAGGGGTCTAGCACAATGCCTCCCCCACAGCGAGTGCTTCATAAATGCTTGTTTGATAGGGCGATCTCAGGGTAGTTTAGTAGAAGGAGTGTTGGGCTTGGAGTTAGAAAGCCCTGGGTTTAAATCCTGTACCAGATACAGCATTTCCTACAGGAAGCCTTCCTGGGTGCCTCTACGTGTGAGAACTCTCTCCACCTTAAACAATCGTGAATTTACTTAACTGTTTACATGTTGGGGCGGCTAGGTTTGGAGCACCAAGCCCAGAGTCAGGAAGACTCACCTTAAACAAGTCACTTAACTCTGTTTGCCTCAGTTTCCTCATCTGTAAAATGAGCTGGAGAAGGAATGACAAACCACTCCAGTATCTCTGCCAAGAAAACCCCAAATGGGGTCAGGGAGAGTTAGACATGACTGAAAAATGACTTAACAACTTGCGTGTTGCATCCCTTGGTAGAATGGAAGCTTCTGGAAAGCAGAGAGTTTTCCCCCATCTTTTCTCTGTGTCCACAGTGGTTGGCACTGTGACCTGACACAAAGGTATACCTAGCGATGAGCACAGTGCCTGGCACACAGTAGGTGCTTAATAAATGTTGATTGATTGTTAGGAGTTAAATAAATTCGTGTTGACTAGACTCGACCTTAGAGATAATCTAGGCCAAAGGTGTCCATACCGCAGCCCAAAGCAGATTAAAATGTAATTGGGAAATATTTAACCAAATAAATAAAAATACAATGGGATACAGATGATGTTAATGTGTGACTTTCTAAGTCAATAGGACCCCTCAAGGATCCTTATACTTAGGTTGGTGGCTCCTGTCTCTATTTGAGTTTGATACCATTGACCACTCCAACCTCCCCTGACCTTACAAAGAAAGGAGCTGAAGGCCCAGGCCCTGGGAATGAATCTGCCAGTTCATTATCGGTAGAAATAGGATGAGGACCCAGGTCTTCTGACTCCCATCCAGGGCCTTGTTTTTACAGCTGCTGCCTTCCAATTAGTTACTTTGCATTTTGTGGAGCATTCTTGCATATGTGTGTGTGTGCATGTGTGGGTGTGTATACATGTATAAACAAATGTATAGGTATGTGTGCATGTATGTACACTTGCATGTGGTACATGTGTGTAGATGTCTATATGTGTATATATGTATAAAGGCATGTGTCTGGATATATAGATGGGTACACATACATATGCATACATACACACACACATATACATACATATATATATATATATATATATATATATATATATATATATATATATATATATATATATATAAACTGCTATAATAAACTTAGAGAAATGGGACTGAGATTTCCCACTGTTTGGGAAGGGGAAAAGTCAACAGCTGAGAAGGTATAGGACTGGTAGGTGGAACAGCCCATGGAGGTCATCACGTCTGCCCCAGTCATCTTGTGCAGGAGACAATGAGTACCACTAGAGGTGAAATGACCTACCCAGGGTCACCTATTGGGAAAGTGACAGTCCCAGAACTGGAACTCAGGTCTTCCTGTCTCCAAGTCCATCACTCTAGCTGCTGCATCACCCACTGAACTCAGAGGGAATAGAATTGGGGGGGGGGAAGGAATTAAAATTCAAAATACAATGCATTTTGAAAATAAAAAAAGGCCTCAACATGAATCTCACATCTTTAAATCCCCTTGGATTTCTGAAACTTGGGACTTTTTGGATTGGTACTTTAGCTCCCAATCACCAATAACAATAAGGTCAAATCCCAATGGACTGGAATACTCAGAGAATAACAAC